TTTATATAGTAAAAAAACTCTTAATGTATAATACCGAGTATTTAAGGATTAATCATTGACTTATCTTGACTGAGTCCCTAACAGAGTGGGTGTGGAATGCGAGAAGAGTATACGTAACCGTCCATGTTACATACCCACTTTTTGTATTTTACAAAATAGTACTTATCCTAAGCTGTTATCGACCCATCAAAATTTTTGTAAGAAAAGAATTAAAAATGGCTATATTGGAAAAATTATTACTTTTACATCAGAAAAAAGTAATAAAAAATATGTTTTTAACATAGTTTAAAACTATAAAATGTATTTAAAAAAATAATAACATGCTAATAAATAGTCGCTGGATTAAAAGTTATTAAAGATGGCCGGGAATCCGGTACTCTAAACTTTTATATGCAGTTGTAACGGTATGAATTTTGCAATGAGTTAAATATTTTTTGTAATTGTATTCTCTACGTACATTTTCTACTTATCTAATATAAAAAATTATAAGAATTACTTATACCTATTTAAAGGCATTACTTTTATATTTGTTTTTTGAATTACTACTTAAATGTACTATTTATAAAAAAGAATATTCCAAATAATGACTGTATAAAGAATGTTGTAATAATTTAGTTTCAAATTAATAAATTTGTTTTTTAATTAGATATTTTTTTATTAAGGTTTTATTAATTTTTTTATTATTTATATTAAATCTAGTAGCTCAGCTATACAAATTTTTTCAGTTTATTAATTATTAAGTATTTTTTTGTTCATCTCTTATGTCTTATAAGGATACTTCATTATTTAAATAGCAACATGCCGTCAGTGTAGGATCATAGAAACGTTTTAACCAAAACAAATTTTAATTTTTTTTTTTACTGAATTATTTAGTTTTTTTTTTTAGAATCGATTGTGATAACAATAGAACTCTTACAAATGGAGATCTCTTAGAGATATAAATTATAATTTTAGTTATAATACCTCTAAAGTAACATAGTTTAAAATCAACATTCAACAAAAATAATTAGAAAAAGTTGTTTAAAAAAATTAATTTTTTTTTTCTTATTAATACATTATATGGTGTTTAGTAGGTAAGGAAATGGGTTTTTATCAGTTATATTTCTCAGTTGCACTCATCCTGCTCAAGTATAAAAATGTCAATGTCTTACGATTTATTGGTCCAAAAGTTGTTATCAACTAATGATTTTGTAAATTAGATTATTTGTTTTTTTATAAGCTAGTTAAATATGTACGTTTCAATTTAAAAACATTAGTTTGACACCCTTATGTGGTATAAACAATAACGTAATTAGAATTTTGACGCCCTAAGAAAAATTTTATTACTGCCCTCAAATACCTTTCAAAACAGTATATCATACTTCCATACTATTATTATCTACTGATTTTACTCAGATATCTTTTGATAATATCATGCAAATTAATAATTGCAGTGCAGCCGCTTTCCAAAATGTTAAAATATTTAAATTTATTGATTGATGAATGAAGTAGATGATGGATTACGATTACAAAAAATGTTGCCGCCTTAATTCTAAAAATTTTGTTATATAGGCGATGGTATCCATTCGCCTTAAAACGTTCTTGGTATAAGAGATGAAACGAAAAGTTCTTAGCGATTTATAAGTCAAAAAATATATGTAACTAGAATAAACAAAATTAATTTTCGAAATTAATTTCATTAAGTGATAAAAGATTACTCTGTATACATGTAAAAATTATTTTACAAAAACAGTTTACACGTTAAAATTTAATGGCATAATATTATAGATCATTTTCTAAAAATAGAAAAAACATTTTCAAAGAAATAAAATATATACAAATATATTTTTTGATTAACATTCAAGTAATGATATCTCACATTCAAAATCGTTTAGTGAGACTTTAAATATTTAAATAGAATTTAAATAGTAAGAATGTGAATGTTTCTAAACATAAATCATATAACAAAAAATAGATTCAAATGCTTTGTGCATTTAAAAAAAAACTTATACAGACATGTTATGAAATTTAATGTTGTTTTGCAAGTAATGAATTATATGTGAATTCAATATTTACTGTCGTAGTAAAAACATAAAAAGGTAATCCATCTATTTTTGAAATATTTAATACAACAGCAATTAATCTTAAATTTTTACAAACATTTTTTTTTCATTTAATATTTCTACTTGTAATGGTATCACTTTGTTAATATATAATCAATATAAATTTAATTAAATAAGTTTATATATCACAAGACAATTATTTCTAAGCTAATAAGTGTTAAATAATAAAAAATCTGTTTTTTACATTTTTTAGCTTTGATATATTATTTAGCTGAAAATTTATTATTTTACTATATCTAGTTTTATTATATTTATAAATAATTACATAGATGCGTTTTATTCTAGTGGAACTAATAACTTATTAATATAAGTTAAGGTAGCTAATAGAAATTTTTGCTATCCATATAAGAGATTTTATTTCGTTCGTTCGAAAGAATAAATTTCAACTATCTGCCATTAAAATACAACAACAAAATTTATTTTTTATATTTTATAATAGTAGGTAATGAAAAACTGAAATAACACATAATTCTATTATTGCTCCTTAAAACAGATAGTTCATTATCTTCACATGGGTGCAATTCATATATTTTTTCGCCATTTTAAATTTTTCGCGAATATTTTATTTCAATACTATACTAAACAGTCTATTAACCATAATTATTGAACATTTACTTAAATTATTAAAAGCAAATATACTGTTTCTTATTAAATTAAGAAGTTACGTTAAAATATAAAACGAATTTAACTTCTAACTTTTTAACGCGTTAAAAAGTGTTTTTAAATTTCAAAAAATTATTAAAAATATTGTATTTTAATTTTTTTTTATTGAAGACAAAAAGTAATAATAGATTTTAACGTAACTAAAAATACTAAAATCGTTAAAAAAAATTACAGTGAATTGATAATTGGATCAAAAGCCATTAGATTTGTCCTATATTCATAACTCACTCTATATAATATACAGTATATATATAGTTATCTTAGCTGCTACGTTTAAGTGCAAAATATGTTTAATATGTTTAAAATATGCGGAAATAAACTTTCTGGAATAGCAAAATTGTGTGTTTTTATTTCTTTGATATTTAAAAAGGTTTCAACAAATGAAAAATAATAATATTGATATATACCTTTCAAAAGCACAAATAAAAACGTAAGTGATGGGTTGAATACAAATTGTATAAAATGTATTGTTGTGCTTTTAAAATCTATTCACGATGGCTTTTTATTGGGATTTATTTAGACATTATTATATTGGTTCTCGTATAATAAACAGTAAAGTATTTTGTCAAATAAGTAAATATGTAGTTTATATCTATATGAATGAGATAACGATGAAAGAGATCTTTATTATAGCAAGACCTAACTATGGCCGTACTTAGGGATGTTTTAAGGGTTCAACCCCCTCTCCAAAATGTTTTTAAAGTTGAACAATTAAATTTACAGAACTTATTAATGCAAACATGAAGTCTACTGTAATATTCACGTTTACCATGTGTAATTTATATATCTTATAGAACAATATCTCTTCTAAATATTTCTACATATCTTATTTATAAAATAAAAGCTCTACTTCTTGTGGACCATAATAATTAATTTAAAAATTACATAAATAAAGTATATAATAAAATAAATTAAATAATTACTTTCGAGAGTTTTATTCTAAGTGTTGATTGAATTTTCTATTTAATAGTAATATAATAGAGCAGTTTTATATATTTTTAAAAATAAAACTACTAATTTTTTACTAATTTAAAGAATTATTGATGACTTATACCCACAGTTACCTACGATTAAGATAACCGTGCTCATGTCCCTATTCTTGTTGCTAGTAAAGCTATTAATAATATTATATAATTTTAGTTGTAAAAACTGTCAGAGAAAACATTGTTTTTATTAAAACAAATCAATTAAAAAAAAATACTAAGTTTTATCTAAACAAAGTATGTTTTGGGGGTATTTTTCAGATTAATTATGGTATATAAACAACTAATGTAGGAAAAATTAATGTTCACTGTTTTATTATCATTTTGAAATGTGTTTATTGGTAAAGCAAACTATCATTCTTATATCAAATTACCGCGTTTGATATTAAAAGCTTACCTACCAATTATTCTTTTTAACCTATTTAAAGGCAATAAAGCGGTAGCACTTATTGGTACAACAGTAATGTCATAACTTACATCAATTAACTGTACTGTACTGTTCTCAATTACTTAAACTTAGAGTGTTAATACTTCTCTCAAAATCTAATGAAACTCATTTTTTTTTAACCCGAACATAAATGTGTAAAAAACATAAGGTTGTCATTCAAAAATCAAATTTTGTTAGTGATTTCAAGCATAATGGATGAAGATAAAATGTTTAATGTTTTGGTAGAGTAGCTCCTCAATTATTAAAATTATTATTAAAAAATTATTTTAATTATTAAATTTAATAAATTATTTATTATATTTAATAAATTCTAATTATTAAAAAAATTTTGTTTTTTGTAAAAATTTTTTCAATTATGCTTTAGTTAAACAATCACTCTATATTTTATAATAAATTACCTATTATGGATGTTCTTGTAGTTTCAATTATTTCATTCCATATTTAATTTGTATATAATACTTTTTATTAGAGAGATTTCTTTTTTGACATAACACGCTAAAAGTTAGTACTCACATCTAAACTTTAATCATGCTTATGTGAAAATTATACTAATTTTTGTAAGATTATTTCCACTGTAATGTGATGCATGATATTTCCATTGATATTGAAGAATTGATTTAAATTTATTAGAATTTTTAAATTAAAACTAAATGGTAGTATCCTAAAGTCATTTTTAATTTTTTTTATGAAAATATAATTTAATTTATGGCATGAAATATAATTATAGATACCATACATGAATAGTTATTTCATAAAATATAGATATTATTGAACAACTATTAAAATTAAAATTTTATTACTTACGTTCAGTTAAAAGACTGTTTAAAAATTGTTCGGAGCACACAAAAGCTTTAGTCAGTATGACTTCAACGACTGATTTCAGTATGTCTGTGGGAAAACTCTTTAAGCCCAACTATCCCACCTGTTGAAGACACGCCTCCCTTAAAAATCTGTTCTACCCTTGACGCTTGTTGCTAAAACACATACTACTAGTGGTAACACAAATTATCTATAAAATTATACATTTAACTAAATAAAATATATATTATACCTTTAAATATGGCTAAATTGTGTACTTATTTGTAAAATATGATTACATTCTAATTCCTTGTATGAACAAATAGTAATATTTCTAAACTTCAAATAACTCATTATTATTATATTACATTTGTTGTAATATATAAAATATTTTTTAGGGCTAGTGCCAAATTCTTTTTCATTATACTAGCTAAAAAAGATCTAATTATAACTCTAATATCTTTAATTCAATAATTATTTTGTTGTCATTTTTTATTAACAATTTTTAAATTAATAGACTACGTTTAAAGCAAGACTTAAATTATTTATTTTTAATAATAATAAAAAATTTAATTAAATTTTTTAAATATTTTCAACATTTTAAAATATCCTTTTTAGTAAAGCTTTTTTACAATACATTTTGATACGTTGATAACAACTTTAGGATAAGTACTTATTGAGTTATAAAGATTTTAATACATACAGTGAGTATCTATCGTTACAGCTTATAGTGGTGTATATTTATACTCATACTTCATATCAAAATTCATCGTAAAAAAGCTCTATAAAAACAACTATTATAAAATTTTGAAAAAATTTTAAATTTCTGATTAACATTAACAGATGTGTTACAATATCGTCCGTGATGTTAGTTATATTATTTGATTTTGTTTAAATATTTTATTTTATTTTTGTTGCCTTTCTTTGTAGACATGGTTTTTGATACACTCGTATTTTTGTCTATGTTTAATTTAATTTTCTTTTTTTTAACAATTAAATTAAACTTCTTATCAATTTTAACTGTAATATTTATTTAATTGCGCGAGTAACTTAAGTACTCCCATGTATTTTATCCCTGTTTCTTAATTTAGATACGGGCTACGGTATGTTTTACATATCAACCACTTACAACTTCAATTATCATAGTTGTGATCAATAAACTACGAGGTATTATAATCATTTATACATATAATGACATATTAACTTAAATTAAACTATTAATTAACTTAAAATTAAATTCCACCTATGGTCCGGTAATCATATCTGATAGATGTGATACCTCGCCTAGGTGGTGGCGACCCTTGCTACTATAGCTAGTCATTATGCAAGTGGCAACCCACGTTATTGTAGCAGGCAAACAAAAAGCCCACTTGCAACCTTATGGTAATAATAACATTTTTCTATGTACCCACTGTTGGTTTAAGGTAATTGGTAAAGTCACACGGATGACTTTTGATTATTGATTTTAATCGTTCTTTGTATTTAACAAAAAGGCACATTTATTAATGAATCTTTTAATTTATTAACTGAGAGGCATACAGAACCCTTACAAATAACACTTATTTAGGAACCTTGGATAAATGGTGACCAGATTAAGGAGCTAAATCTAAAAATTTTTAATCTGTTTCATAAACAAGCAGATAAACCAAAAACTTGCATTTTGGTTAAAAAAAGTTAAAACCAGTTTGATACTTAATCTATCTAGTGCAGACTTGACTATTATTAAAGTAACACTAAGTGATGGTAAAAAAATATTATAGTAGCCTCAGGATACCTACCATATGAGACCCAAGAAGGATGCTCTTTAATTATTTCAAAAATGAATAATTAGAACTCATCCTAGTTATAGATACTAATGCTCACCACACTATTTTGAGGAGCAGTAACATCAACCAATGAGGAGAGGTCATAATGGATCTATTACTGACTACAGACCTCAATACACTGAATAGAGGTATCAAACTTACCTTTGTAATCAGGAACAGGCAGGAAGTCATTGATCTGACAGTTTGCTTAAAAAAGTTATTTCAAAGATAGAAGGGTGGAAAATGTCCCCGAACCTTCTCTTTCTGATCATAGGCACATACGATTCACTTTGGAAATTAACAAAATTGAGACGTAGTACTATAGGAACCCGAAAAGAGCAAACTGGGATAACTACAAAGCAGATATTTTACATGACCTGAATAATATACAGGTTAGATTGGGGTTGAGACAGAGTACTAAAAGGGCTGTAAATATACTACAGGACTCTATTGTCTCAGCTTACAAGAAAAACTGTCTTTTAATAGTAAGGAAAGATACAGGTCAGGGTATACCTTGGTGGATCTCTAACCTGTCTAAATTAAAAAAGAGATCACGTAAGATTTTAAATAAAGCGAAGAAATTAGGATTGGAACAACACTAGGAATTCTATATGGACGTCCAAAGGAACTACAAATCTGCATTGAAAAAGTCCAAGCTGGAAGAAGTTCTGTAGTGAAATACAACAACTTCCTATAGAAACTAGACTTCTGCGATCACTAAGGAATGGATCAAACAAAACAGCATATTCACTAATAATGATAATAAAACATTATCAAATTTGCTAAATATACAATTTCGTGGCTCTAAAATTAACAACAGAGAACAGTCACATGATACACATAGCAAACAAGTGGCCTGTGCTGATTGGAAACTAACCAGGAGAGTGATAACCCCAAGTGGAATAAGATGGGCAATAAAAGCCTTTGGCAGTTTCAAAGCTGCAAGCTATGACGAATTTTTCCCTGCATTTCTGCAAGAAGGGTCAGAGCTAATCGTCCCCCATCTCTGCAATAGAGCACGCCTTGCCTATGGTTATCAACCGGAAAGCTGGCGAAAGGTCAGCGTGGTGTTTATACCATTATGAACTATTTTGAAGCAAAATACTACAGATTAATAAATTTCACTTCATTTATTCTTAAGACTATGAAGAAACTTATTGATAGGTACATCAAGAAGGTGTCTCTAAAGGAAAACCCTAATATGAACACCAACATTGTATCAAACTAGAAAATCTACTGATACAGCTCTACACTGTCTAACAACTAAGATAGGAAAAGCTGTAGAGAATAAAATGTATGTAGTAAGTATATTCTTGGACATTGAAGNTGTATCAAACTAGAAAATCTACTGATATAGCTCTACACTGTCTAACAACTAAGATAGGAAAAGCTGTAGAGAATAAAATGTATGTAGTAAGTATATTCTTGGACATTGAAGAGGCTTTTGACAATACTCCCTTCAATACTATGTGTGAATCTGCACATAACATGGAATAGAACCACTTATTACTAAGTGAGTAGAAACCATGCTTAAGGAACGCTTCATCTTGGGACAGTTAAATGAAACCAAAGTATCAAGAGTGTTAAACAGGGATGCCCACAAGGTGAGGTTCTATCTCCCTTACTATGGTATCTAATATTAGACTTGCTTATTAAAGTGTTAAACAAATACTGTTATACACAAGCCAATGCGGATGACTTAGTTATAGTAGTGGTGTGTAAATTCCCAGACACTATTATAGACTTGGCACAACAGAGACTAAACGCATACATATATAGTGCAGTAAGTATTGTCTATCTGTTAATCCAAATAAAGCAGAGGTAGTTATGCTCACTAGAAGGAGAACTGGACTAGACAGTCTTGGCCCACTTACTTTAAATGGAGAAGAAATTAGCTAAAAATCAGAAGTAAAATACTTAGATATTATTTTAGACAGTAAGCTAAAATGGAAATCACATGTTGAGTCAAGAGTCAAAAAAGCAAAGACCACACTGTGAACTTGCAGCAGAGCCCTGGGAAAGACATGGGGTCTTAAACCAACAGATATGTATTGGCTGTACACTTCAATGATTAAACCTATGATATTGTACGGTGCCCTAGTTTGGTGGACCATAATAGCACTCGTTACAGTTAAGAAAGAACATAGTCGCATACAGAGAATTGCTGCCATAGCCATCACTGACGCATTTAGAACTACACCAACGATCGCATTAGAGGCACTAATTGGATTACCACCTCTGCATCTAGAGATTAAAGCCTCGGATAAATGTCATCATGTTAATGGGCAAAACACCCTCTGTTTTCCAAGCAGAGGTGATAACAATACTGGTAAGAGTTCAGAACCTTCTGGTATACAAAAAAAGAAAGATAACTAACTTAAGTGATAGTTAAGCGGCTCTAAAATCACTCTATAACAATCAGGTGAATTCAAATCTTGTCCTCGAATGCAAGGATACTTTAGAATCACTATTGAGGTTCAACAAAGTTACACTAGCGTGGGTACCAGGACATAACGGTGTCACTGGAAATAATTTTAACGCTACTTATAGAATTTACAATATTTACAATTTGTGTATTATGGAAAATCCACAAACTACGTAATTTTCAACACTCAATTTTTATTTCTTGTATTTATTCTGCGTTCTGTAGTAGATTAAGTTATTGGGACTCATAAAAAAATCCTAGGAACGTTAAAATTATTTCTCCATCATAAAATTTTCACCAAACGTTTTAATTGCCTAAAGGAAAGTACTATGTAAATTTGAAAAAAATTCGTTCAGTCACTTTTGTGTAATGAGATGATAAAGTTGGCTATTTTCAGCAAACCATGCGTGTTCAAAACCGTTAAACGATAAAAAAAAATTATAAATCGATTCAAATATGATATGGGTTAAAAGAACATTACTAAAAGTTTCTGAAAAGAAAAAAAAAATTTTAATTAAAAAATTTTTTGACCTTCAAATTTCGCTATTAAAGTACTGCAAAATTTAAAAAATTTAAATCAAAATTTTGATGTTCAAAAAAATTCAAAATTTATAAACTTATGAATGAAATTGAAGTACTATTTAATATGAGTAAAACAGTGCTAGTTCCACAGTGAAAAAATATCACCGCAAGCCGCACCATCATCAGTTAGTATTTTTAAAATATAATCGATAGGAGCAGCACTAGTTGACAAAAAAATATACAAAAGTGTTTTAAAACATATCTTAAAAGAATGCATTTTACTCACTCTGTATTACATTTAGAGCTTTAACACCTATTACAAAATTGAAAGAGGACAATATTTCGAAGACAATCTTATAGCCATTTTGGGATTAACCTAATATTAAGCTTAATAATTGAATTTGAAAATGTACTTTTTTATTAAATTTCAATCAATTATAACTCTTTACTAATACAATATATCCAAAAACGCATATGAGATTATCTCCATAATATTGTTCTCTTTCGTTTTTATAATGGGTGTTATTGCTCTGAGTGCAGTACTTAGTGTGTAAAATGCATTTTAAAAAGACATGTGTTACGCACTACAATTGGCTGTATAACGTCCTCTTAACTAGGCTCTCTATTAGATACTATCTGTAATCGTGTTCATATCAAACACTCTATTATGATGTAGAGATATTCTTCATACTGTGAATTGTACCAAATAATAAATAAATCGTTAATGATAAGTTGTTTTGTGATATCACGTTTCTGATAGTACTTATGACTTTTCAACTCTCAAACCACGACTTAGAAAATAAGGTTGGCGTACTCTACCCCCTCACAATCTTAAAATATTTCCATTTATTGAGTCGAAATAGTTTCAGATATTGTCCGCAAAAACGCATTTTTAAGTAAATGTGAGATCATAAAGGTATATTTAAATATGTATATATGTCTTCTTTTTCTTCGTCTTTATCCCAACTACTTGGGGTTGTCCACCTTTATACTAAATTTCGGCTTTACGCGATCTTCCACATCATCTAGGCACACATCAGCTGTTCTCATATCGCATTCCTCTCACCTATGGTCCCCGCATATATCAGGGATGGGACAATCTGCCTAAGTTCTCTTCAAGACTTTTCATACTTTTTGACAAAATTTTACACAGGCTGTCGACCTGACGTAACCTCATTAGTCGCCTTTAACCACTAGCAAAGGGTCCGTGTACGTATTCTAATCCTTTGTTAATAGAGAAATATATATATATATGAAAAACCTCAAATTCCTGTAAAATAATGCTTTTCCGTACAACCAAAGTTAAGATAAAACTAGTTTTATCCCATTTGTGGTACAACATTTGAAACATTTACCATTCAATAATCGGAACTAGGGTTGAGTAATTCACGAATGAATCGATTCCGACTAGAGATGTTAAGTTCGTGAACGAATAGTTCATTTGAACTATTCTGAACTGTTTCAGTACCTGTAACTTAACAGTTCACAGTTCGAAAAAAATTGGTAGCAATGTATAAATGAAATAGTTCGCGAACTTCTTTAAAAATTCTTTGTGGTTCGTTGCAGTGTTGAGAAGGAACTGGTTCCAAAAGGAACGAATTCCTGGAACGAGTTCTTTTTGAAGGAACTGCTTCCTTTTAAAATAAAGGAACGAGGAAAATGAACAAATTCCATTTTTTAAGGAACGTGAACGGAAATTACAGTTCTTAAAAATTTTTATAAACATGTTTTAGTGTAGTTTTCTTCGTATCTAGACATTAAAATATCAAGGTATTTTTAGTTGACTTTTGACAATGGAAGTCCCCTATATACCCAGCCGAGATCGTAGGCTGTTTAAATGAATCAATTGACTATAGAGTTATTATCACATGTAGGTATACAGTAAATATTAAATATATGTGTACATATATTAAATAATGCACCGAATATTATCGTCGTTTCTTGTTAACTAATATATGTTAAAGGTTTTGGGTTTTCTGATTTATTATTTCTAACTTATATGTAGACAATAGACATTGGTCGCGTTGACACAAGTCGTTAGCATTTACTACCTGTTTATAAATATAATTTTCGAATACTTTTAGATAAGGAATACTACAAATTTGTTTTGTATTCGACTGCTGATGAAAATCATTGATGACCGTTATCATGATCTCATTGCCACAATTTTTTAAATAACTTGGTTACATAAAAGGAACGAAGAGTGGAACGAGTTCTTATTTTGGAGGAACTGGATCTGGAACAAGTTCCTTCTTAATATAAAGAACTAGGATCTGGAACGAGTTCATATTTTAGAAAATGAACGGGGAACGGAACGAGTTCCATTTAAAAAGGAACTTTCCCAACACTG